ACCGTCTTTTGCTGCTCATTCTCAGCCTATGTTGTCCCTTGTGTTATTTTCACCTACCTTTCTCGCATTACATATATCGCGTGTCCTTTTTTTTTTGGCATCACGTTCTCAACCTATGCACGTGTTGTCCGCTTGCTGCATGGGTCAGACAGCCATTCCAATGATTGGCGATGACGAGCATCATGATATAGGAGTAGCGATAGCTATGCTAGCTACATCTTGGTGTGCGTACGAGCTCAGACGTGAAGGATTATGTAGATGCTGGTGTGTATGTAGATGCCGTAACTTTTGAGTTATATTGGCTGCATGTTATTCAGTGGAATTTGTCTTTGTGTTCTAACCGTGGCTCGTGGTAAAACACGACGCTGAAGAGAGGATTGTGCTGTGCTGCTTGTGACATTCCAGAGATTTTGTCCTGCCTTTGCTTTCCATGCAGAGCTCGCTCTCCAATCTGGTCAAGAGTGTTTCAAGTGGAAACCAGAAGTTTGTGGGTTGAAAGCGTGGAAGATTCTCTTTTCTTTCTTTTCCATTTCAATTCCTGCGTGCACGTGTTTGTCTGTGTTTGCGTGCATGTACATGTGTATGTGTGTGTGTGTGTGTGTGTGCGTTGCCATGTTCAGTATACACCCCCAGCCCCCCCCCCCCCCAAAAGAAAAAGAGCGTGACTGTGCCAGACTGTTTCGGTGGACTTTCGTAGACTCATCGGGAGGTTGTATGTGTATGTGCGTGTGTGCATGTGCGCATGGAAATGTGTGCACGTCTGTGTGTGTGTGTGTGTGTGTGTGTGTGTGTGTGTGTGTGTGTGTGTGTGTGTGTGCGCGCTTGCTCTCTAAGAGGACGGATTGGGGATGGAAGGACTGTGGGAGAGTGATAGGTAACCTTTGTAACTGATGGATCACTTGTGACCTGTGTTGCGTGCAGGGTGCGCTGCCTTCTGCTGGAAGGGGTAAAACTGTGGCGAAGGATGGGCCCTCCAGCGCCAATCAGGGCTGGGCATCATTTTAGGCACTGTTTAAGGAGCACCTGAATATTTAGTCCTTGAAGTTGGTGTAGCAACTAAGAGGGTATTTCTACCACCAGGCAATGCTGGAACTCGTGTATCGTTTCCCAGCCTTAATTGTTGCACTGTGTTGATCTCCTCCTCCTCCACCTCCCTCCTCCTCCTCCTCCTTCTTCTTCTGTGTGTGTGTGTGTGTGTGTGTGTCCCTATATATATGCATGGCATTTGATACATTCATTCGGAATTTCATCCATCTCCATGTCTATCATTGTACGTGTTATATATCTGGTGTTGTTGATCCTCTGGGGTACTGCACCTATCCCTATCTTGTGATTCTTATTCCTTTTCTGTTTCTTTTTCTATTTCTTTTTCTATTTCTTTTTCTGTTTCTTTTTCTGTTTCTTTTTCTGTTTCTTTTTCTCTTTCTTTTCTATTTCTTTCTCTATTTTTTTTCTTTCTTCGTTAATATTTGGCATGCCTTCTACGTTTTGTAAAGAGTATGCGCGGCAGATGGTGTCATGCAGCGGCACCCAAAAATGATGCCCTTCTAAAGCCCCTATGTCGAGGGTGGAAATCTGATTTCAACGAGGTAGGTTTGGGTTTTTAACCGTTCGTTGCATGGTGTGTCGCCGAGGCATGAGAGAGCACTTACAGACTTGCGCTTTTTGGAATGAATGTGGCCTTGATTGTGCACAAAGATGTCCTAGCGTGTGAATACACCCAATGAGGAGGCACTTCACAATTTTTGGTTGTTGACAACTTGTTTTGTGTAGTCTGCAGATCTTTCTGTTTATCGGAAATGCCAAACATAATAATCACGTCAAGGCTGTCACTAGTGCGCAGTTGGTTTCTCATGCTCTGATCTGGACTTCGTTGCTCCCTTTTGTCTCTCTTTTCTTTACCCCCCCCCCC